TTTTGTCAAATTGACACCAAAGGGCCAGTGAAGATGGTCTTGTTTAAAGTCTTTGCATAGATGAATCCAGAGGAAGCTGCAACTCATCTTCTCCTTTAGAGAATGGCAAGTAAACAGCACAGCATGCTATTGAGACAATTCCACCACTCCTATTAATTAAGTGTAAAATAGCGAAGACAAGGGATATTATTAAAAACGTCAACATAAAATTAAAGCAGGGACAAGACTCTTGACAAACCAAGCTCAATGCAAAGGAAAAAATAATCCAACACAGAGCTTCTCCCAGGAGCGGGACCACCATAAGAACGAGTGAGGAGCAAATGGTGAATAAATTTACAATATATGCACCCCCACCCCAAATTTTAAAAATGCAGACTTTCTTCTTTATATGCAGAATCGCTGCTTCAGGAAGGGAGTAGATCCACTTGAGGCAGCAGGAGTGCAACAGCAGCAGAGTACCAACAAACACAGGTATCCAAGAGGCATTGATTGAGGTGGGGAGATTAAAAAAAACTGCTCTCTGCCACCATTGACTCGGAAGCGGTGACAGAACGAGGTATGGAAAGAATACGCCATTATTGTAAAGGAATAAACTCCAAGATACTAGAGTTTAAGATGACTGAAGTTCAAGAAGTTGGGAGCAGTGGGCTGAAGTGAAGAGAGAGAGAACTGTTAAGATCCCTGACTGGCTGGCACGCAAAACCCTCACTGCCTCCCCCCAAAATACAGGGCAACGTAACCAAAATTCATTGAAGTTTATATTCTCTACTGAGGCTAGGTCCTCAGGTAGTATAAATCAGAGGAGCCCTGCTGGCTTGAGGCTCACAGAAGCTTGGAAGAAGGTTAGATGCCAAAGTACTCGACATGATAAAGCACAGACACAGGGGCCAGAGCTTCCTGATAATTATACACTTAAGTCATGGAACAGTCTTCCAGCAATTGAGCATTTTCCTGTGTTTGAAACAAAAGCCTCTTGAAAAATATTGTCCTAAACACAAATAAATTCACTCGTTAGCTCTTCAGTCCTCCTCTCCTCAGGGAACAAATGTTTTTACCCACTTGTGTTTCTTAAAGTGTGTTTACTAGTCCTCTGCCTCTTGCGCTATATTCTGGCAAATCACTTTCCTCTCCAAGCTCTACTTCCCTATAATTATATCTCTGACTTATAAATCATTTTGAAATCCCCTGGTGAAATGTTAGAGGAGCACATGGAATTGTCTTTCACAACAATCTCCTAAAGTAGGTTGCAGCTGAGCAGATAGAAATTTCTATTACAAACCTCCCAGTTACTACCTGTTGATACGATACAATGAATAGAGCTCTGATTCCACGTGGCATCTTTGGGGAATAATTGCAAAGTGGATTTTAATCAGTGCAAACCAGACGTTTTTGTTGAAAGAAAACTAGAAGGGTCGCTAAATAATGCTGGTGAAACTGAACCATATGCTTAGGACTTGCCTTTTTCAGACCAAATATTTCTCAGTAATTATCAGAATGCACTTCAACCCATGCAGAGGGCAGGTACTGGCTTTTACCCACAGCTATGAGGGAGGAACGTAACATTAAGTAACCTGTAGTAATTTATAGATCACTGATAAGTTATATATAACACATGCATTTGTAAGAAAGACAAGAAGTAATTAAAATATAATTAACAATTCATTTCTATGACAACATGCTTAATAAAGAAACATACCAGGCATTATAAAGAGAGCGGAGAGAAGATTATTATCACAGTAACCATTTCAGGACATAGTTCTCCCCCCTCTGCTCCAAACAGATACATTAGGGAAATAAACCAATCCAAGGACAGAAAAGAACTACTATGAAATAACACTAGAAGTTAGCATTTTCATTTTCAGAGTAATTTTAAATAGCAACCCTGTGTTAAGAAAAGCAGAATCAAGGACATGGTGTTATTCGAAAAAGAAGAAAGGAAGGAATCTGAATAAGGTAGGGTTACTGGGGAAAATATACTATAATTGTTTTAAAACAGCAAAGACCTTAAAAAGAGGTTAATAAAAAAGAAAAGAAAACACTGGGATGACCAGTTTTGGTCTTGTTGAAGTATTTTTATTGCATTCAAATTGTCCCTTCCTCGGGAAGATGCTTCTCCACACCTCAAGTTTCCTAGAAGAGAATGACAGATCAGATAACTTAATTGCTATGTTCAGAAAGGTTTGGAGCAATTGTGTTTTAAAGATTTGAGATAGAATGAACTAATGTAATGGAATGAAAAAAAAAAAAAAACACACGGAAAATGGCCAAAATATATTTGTACTAAATCAGGTTCCCTTGTTTTAAATGATGTTAAGCTCACCGGGGTAAACAGAAGGCAATGGGTGTGATACATCTCATACAGCTTTTGGCACTGTCTCACAGCACAGCAATTTCATAGGAGGACATTTTAAACATAATTAGTGAAAGGTGTGCAGGCATCTGATAGAAGAAAACCATAGTGGTCATTAGTGGTTATTCATCCAAATACAACGGCACGATGCAATATTTACGCTTGTAAAATCTGTGCTAAAAAACCTAAGAACCTCAAAACAATGGCAGGAGATGCAAAGACTATGAAGGATGAGATCAAACATCCCAAATGCTATTGACAAATTGGAAAGGCTGTCCAAAAACCAACATGAGAAATATAAACTATTATTCTTAGGAAACAGACAACATTAATAATCAATGTGAATTCCTGACTAGACAGAACTACAGCAAAAAACAGATCTTAGGGTTGTACAGATAACGAACAACATAAATCAACAGTGCAGTGAATTCTGGAATGTGTTAACAGGTGTGTCATAGACAAGACAACTTGTTTGATTTCTTAACTTCCCATAGTACAGAAGCCCCATGTGGGGGCTGCTCCTGGCTGAACACCTTCAAAATATAAGCACTGTTCTGAAGAGAAACAAGAAAATAACAACAAGAGCAAGAAGTTTAGAAAACAACCCCTTTGAGAAAAAGCTGAAGGAATTAGATTTGCCTAGTCAAGAAACAAAAGCTGGAAGCAAGATGCAGCTTTCTGATACATACAAGCTCATTAGAGAGATGTTGATCAACTTTCCTCCATGGCTCCAGCAGAAAGACATGAAAGAGACAACTTGATTTGCAACAAGAAATGCTTAAAAGACTTTGCTGATCAGCATTCCAACCAAGGAATTTTCAGCACCGGAGCAGACTGTCTAAGGGGACTGCGGAGTCTCTTCCACTGGCATTTTTTAAAGAACAAAGTTTGATAAGCATGCTGGTGCTAGCCTGGGTAGATTTAGTCTTGATGCAGTGCAGGCTGGACTAGGTGATCTTTTGGGACCCCTCCCAAGGGTTTCACAATGGATATAATTCAGAAAGTTCTAACTGGAACGATGATTACAAACTCTGCACTCTGGCTGATCAGATTCTGTATTACTAGAGAGTGCCACCAACTAGACAGAAAAGCCAGGAAAACAGCAAGTGGTCCCCAAAAGAGCTCAACGTTCAAGATAAAATCATGGGTTCTGCACTATCAGACTATGGGATTTTCCAACGGCCCTTTTAATTTCTATCATTATTCCACTGCTACGTTACCCACAGCAGCTCCCTATGCAGTATCACCAGTGAAGGAAAGAGGTGGTAGCTTGGAATACCACGGAAATTAAAAGTTTTTAAAGGTTTTACCCATACTTAGGAAGATGCAATTATACAGTTGCCCCTCCGAATTCACTGTTGGACATGCAAAGAAACAGTTTAATTTTCCAAAGAGCTGAGGGACCTGCAGCTTTCACAGCTGCTAACCTAGTTTGTAAATTATGGTGTCTGTGTTAAATACATTAAATGAAATTTTAGCATTGATTTATATTTTATGCTATCACTTTTTCCCTTGTTGCCTTCTCTGAAGTTTTCTAATCAGTGGCACTCCTACTGTGTACCCAGATAGACTCGTAGATGTCATAAACATTCAGGTCCTGTCAGTACTGTCCTTTACAGTGTTTCTCAAGTTATTGCCCTTTATTCTTAAGAAAACAGTAATCCATACGCCGTCTTCTGCAGTGTGACCATAATCGTTTTAATTTACAACAAAATAAATTCCCAGTTAACAAGTCACAGCTTATGTATTACTTCATTTTCTTCACCTTTCATTCATCTGCTGCCTTCTCAGCATTCCAATTGCACATTTATTTTGGGAAACACTGCGATCATCTCATGGACCACCATTAATTCTACTTAGAAGCACAGAACAACAAAACGACTAAATGGCTACACTCAGAAGCTGAGATATGAAGAATCTTTGCAAAAGGTCCTTTGTAATTTAACGACCAAAGTGTAGATTCATCTGAACTCCCCCAATTCTTTTGTGTGTGTCTGGAAGGCAGGACTGAAGCCAACCTGCCAAGCTGTTCAACCTTCCACTCTGGGAAAAAAAAAAAAAATAAACCCGAACCCAACCCTAAGTAAATTGACTCTCAAACTAGGGGAAAAAAAACAACCCCAAACTCAAACCTTTCTTCATGCTTTCTTTGAGATAGTAGCTCTTCCTGGGTGTCTTGCAAGCTGGTTCTTCTCCTTCTTTTGCCGGTTCCCTTACATCCTCTATGTAAAAATAATGCAAATACACCCTCTTCTATTCCTGATGAGACTCCTCCCTGCAGTGAAATGGCAATTACCCAAGCCTTGCACAATGTCTGCATTGCAAAGGTAGCCTGTGGCCTAGCCTTAGGAATAGCACAGTTTCATACCTTCACTCTGGCACAGATAAAAAGAAAAGGGGAAGAGCATAAAAGGAAAAGGTTCTTTTAAAAGCTAGCAGTAGCAGAATTCAGTTTGAAGACAGAAGCCTAACCACCTTTATTCTCCAAACACATTCAAATGGATTAGTAGCAAGTTGTGGCTTCCCAGTTAATTTTTGACTGCACAGAGAAGCATTTTCCAAAGAACTGAAGGCCTGTGTCTGTCTTTGACTTCAAGCTACTGATGTGGTTTATCAACAGTCTCTGTATGCAGATAAAAAGTTAGTGGTAGAAATCAATTACACAATCAGAAAGAAAGGTGACCTTGTGTCTCGGGGTCCAGAATCTCTCTGATGGGCTGAGCTTTCCTTCCTCAAAAAAATAGGATCCATGAGTCGAGCCTGTAAGAGAAATGAGCAGTCATGGGAATAGATGTGAAAGGCATAAACCTTCCTTCCTTCAGTTCACAAACCTTTCTTGTTTGCAGAAGCCCTGCCACTATGAAGATGAGTGACATGTAAAAATGTAGCCAGAAAGATAAAGAGTGTTTTCTTTCTTGAAGATGATTCAGTTCTAATACTTTACTGGCATGATGGGTTAGGCAAGTACTGCCAGCATCCACAAGATATAACCCTTGAGACTGTCTGATAAGAGATATGGCATGTCAACCATCTGCTTTCCTATCAGGTGGCTGAATCAGAGACGCCTCTTAACACCTCTCCCTCTCTCATATTAGCTCTTGATAAATGTGAATGAGGGAACAAATTAATTGCTTCTTACCAGGGCTAAGAGAGACCTGAATAAAGCCACGGGTGGGAGCAAGATCCAGAGTTGCACACACCCTCCACGTGAGTCTGAGATCAGCCACCCACACGTATCCACACATGTCCAACCTCTCTCCCAGCCACATACACTGGTACCCATGCCATTGCCATTTCAGGCTTTTAGGATACTTAAGCACATTAACATAATATTAGCATTCTGAGAGGTTCATGCAGGTTTGTGCATTGCATTTCCATTTATGCTTCATTCTAGGTAAGCAGAGCCCTTGGAAACTTTATTATTAGCATTCTGAGAGGTTCATGCAGGTTTATGCATGGAAACTTTACCAGTGACTTCAGCAAGTGCAAACCCATGCTTTTAACACACGGTGAAAACTTTGTCACTACAGGTTTCCATTGCCAGCATCCACAAGATATAACCCTTGAGACTGTCTGATAAGAGATATGGCATGTCAACCATCTGCTTTCCTATCAGGTGGCTGAATCAGAGACGCCTCTTAACACCTCTCCCTCTCTCATATTAGCTCTTGATAAATGTGAATGAGGGAACAAATTAATTGCTTCTTACCAGGGCTAAGAGAGACCTGAATAAAGCCACGGGTGGGAGCAAGATCCAGAGTTGCACACACCCTCCACGTGAGTCTGAGATCAGCCACCCACACGTATCCACACATGTCCAACCTCTCTCCCAGCCACATACACTGGTACCCATGCCATTGCCATTTCAGGCTTTTGGGATACTTAAGCACATTAACATAATATTAGCATTCTGAGAGGTTCATGCAGGTTTGTGCATTGCATTTCCATTTATGCTTCATTCTAGGTAAGCAGAGCCCTTGGAAACTTTATCAGTGACTTCAGCAAGTGCAAACCCATGCTTTTAACGCACAGTGAAAACTTTGTCACAGAGACTACAGGTTTCTGTGTCACATAGCTTAGAGCACAGCGAGTATCCTTAGCAAATATCAGAAATGGACTCTAGTCACAGAATTTGAGAGAAACTCTGATCCACATCTAAACTTTAAGTGTCCAAGGAACAACTCTTCTTTCACTAAGACTGTCTAAAGTTTAACATATAAAGAGTTGGAGCCTTAAGGACCTTTTCTTTCTATCTAACGTGTTATTATCAGTTTCAAATGCAGAATGGTCAATCTATTTTGCTTGTTTTAGAAACTAGCATCATAAAGTTAACACATCAAAAGAGAAATTTAAATACATTCCTCAGATAAGACTTGGTGTCTTAATTTGCTACTATATTCTGGAAAATGTTCCATGTTCCTTCTGTTCTGTTTAGAACTAATTGACATGATCTTCATTTGCTGTTTCAGTCTCCCCTGGCTTACCTTTTCTCTTGGTAAGTGATTTGCACACTCTCCTTTCCATCCCCATCCTCTAGTCCTCAACTTCTCTTCCTAATTACTCCAACCATTACATCATCTTCTGGTCTCTATGTTCTCTTCTAGTGACTCCACAAAGACGTTACTCTTGAAAACACCTCAAGTACTATGTAGCAGAAAGGAAAGAACATTCATCACTTTGTCCTCTTACATTGCAGAGTGAATGACTGGGATACCAATGTAACTAATTTTAACTAAATACATGTTTTAACTAAAAAAACATACTCACTTCAGCTCTTGCGTAGCTCCAAGGCTCTGAAGTGCTCTCTCACAACAGCCCTGATAAATACTCAGGCTCTCTTTTGTGTACCTAAGAAGCAGAACTAAGTAGTTCCACAACTTTAATGAATTTGTGATCTCCTTCTTTCGGTTGTTTTTTTTTTCCCTTGCTTCCTTAATTTGCTTTTCCCTGTAGGGGTTATAAGACAAAATACCTTCAGAGTATTCTGAACGTGCTAAATCTCTGTACTGCACACAGAAAGTTATATACCTTTCCTATAAGGGCTGGCCAGCATAACCATCAGTTACTCCTTCACCACAGCCCAAGAAAACAATAGCTCACTCCCACGCAGACTCCCCCACTCTCTTGCACACACATGGGGCCATTTACTGATTAAAATTTTCTCCCACAGACACCTGGTCTCACAGATAACACAGTCCAGCAGCTTAAGTTTGCAAGGAACATTGGATGAGCAGGAATGAAGAATGAAAATTTCAGGCCTTCTCGGGTTACCCCCCAGGATGAGCTAAGCCTTGGCTGTCAGAAATGTTTCCCATGCCAGAATTTCATAGTGATATTTATTTTTACCAGGCATCTTAGACTTTTTTGTTTGGCATGAGAGATCCTGCAAACTCTGCCAGAAATGGCTGTTTTTCTTCTTTGCATCATTAGCGGGGCAGCATTCCAGCAGAGAAGGGTCACTTGCTTGGTACTTAAGTACTTTTAAAGATGTTGCCCTTTCCTTCCTGACGAGATATTGGGAAAAAAAAAAAAAAAAAATCGGAAGGAGAGCCTTTCAACAGCTTGCTGTTACAAAAAAGCCAACTTTGCTTGCTAACACTAAGGTCGAAACTGACCAGAATTGCAACAATGCATTTAATAAATGCCAGGAATCTATCACAAAACTTACACATACCCGTGATTTTAAAGTGAAGATGTGGCCTCCGTAAACCACAAAATCTGTCATAATAATATTCCTTCTCATAAACAGATCACCCAAAATTTTGAAGTACTTCTATGACTGAGGAGTAGGAGAATGTTTCAAGTTTTTCTTCCTAACAACTTATATTTAAAATACAAGGATCTGGGATCTTGATTAGACCTAAATCCTGAGGTGAACATAAACTTCATCAATATAGAGAGAGCTCAAAATTAGATCACATCTCTACTTACTCTCTTTCTGTCCACCAGTTCAAGGGGAAAAATAAAATCTCAGCAATGCAGATTAAAATGCAGCTAAACTACTTAATAAAAAATAAATTATGATGGCATAATGTTCACAGCAGAGCATGCTCATGACACCTTACCGTTTTTTTCTTGGCTTAAGACTTCCAGGTAAAATTACAGGTGTCAAATTTGAGCCCTTTAATGGTACAAATGCTGGCTTCTTAAGAGAGCTGCTGCTGTCGTCGTGTCCTGTCATGAGCCGGAAAACACACAGTTGTTTCCAGACTTCATCTTGTGGCAGATGTCAGGAGTAAGAAACTTTGTCAATCTTGTTTCTCTGAAGGCCACCGATCTCAAAGAACAATGTAAGTCTGTTTGTCGAGGTTTCACCTGAAGAGGCAAAAAACTGGTATTGACACTGCATTGTTAGAGTACAAGGATTGGTTCACTTGTTGCTTGAGAAGGCTCCGATTAGGAGAAGCACTAGAAGTACTCGTTCTTTCTCTGTAAACACCTCCTAAGGAATCAAAAACATGAAAATATGTATTTCATCACATAATTTCACTGTGATTTTGGCTGACCTTTTTAGTCGAGATAATTTTATTTTTAGTGCATGTGGTTAGAGAGTGTGATCATAATTCATAAAATAATTATTAAATCCAAAATTCAATGGGAGGTTTTTATGGGTTTGCCACTGACTCATAAATGAATCATCCAGCTTCAACGTCATTGATTTTTAAAATGTCTTGCATAATAGAATCCTAATTTCACTTAGAATATTTCCAATAATTTACCTTAAATAATAGCATGAAAGCTCTTATTGTCCACTTCTTCAGATCTCTTCTCAAAATTTATCTCTGCCCTCTTATTGTCCACTTCTTCAGATCTCTTCTGCTATGGTGCCCAAAATAATAGATTATCAATAAAGATTGACAGCTGTTTAACTCAATGTTTTCTCCTCTCAGTTCTGGTTTGTTCTTTGTGTGTCTTAAGATAAACACATTTTGTTATCACACTTGCAATTTTATTAATTATTATGTACTAGGTAAAGCTCAGCTGGCAAACGTGTGGGAAGCTTCAAAAAATACAAAGCACCACCAAACCTCAAAAAGCTAAGTCCAGCAGAAGGCAGGCTCTTAGCTAACTGTTTTAAAATAGAAGTTGGCTTTAGACACTCAAAGGATGAACAAGAAAGGCTGGAGACAGTTTCCCGGTGTTTCTGTGAAACTGGCTTACATTAACTTCATAGAAGTCAGATGGAATGGGACTGACTGCCCACAGACTAGTTTTTTTTGTACATTGTAGTTGTAAAGCTCAAAGCAATAGGATTTCCAACTGTCACGTGAAGAAAAAAAAAAACAGAAAAGTGAAGTTCCCTCCACTATGTCTAGGCTTTATTTTAACTACTTTAGCAATAATTGTTAAAATTCTAAGCAAATAAAATATTTCATTCCAAGAAAAAGTAATAGAAGCCAGACAAAATGACTCAGTCCATTTAAAACAAGGCATTTCCTCTGGAATTTGTTGCTTGATATCTAGTCCTGTTTATTATTCTATATAATACTCTCTCAGAAAGAGGAGCTGTTTCTCAGGAGAACTTTGGCTAATAAAAGGAAAGTATTTCAGCTCAACATTGATAGTATCATTTAGGCAAGTGAAAATAAAACCAGCAAAGAGTAAGCTAAGCAATTAACATAGTGGGAGCAAAGTATGTGGGAATGGGGGAAAATAGAAATCTGATTTAAGCTAAATTGCTGAGAAACACTTCTAAAACTAACACAGGAGTTTTTCAGTCCATGCATCATAACATAATAAAGAAATTTTCTTTCATGACAGAATTTAAATTATACCACTATTTTCAAACTTGTGGACTCTTATATGAGTAAATTAGCCTAATTTACCTAAAGGTATAATTTCTGAAAGACTACTTAAATCACTGCAAGAGGGTGTGCACAAAATGCATCAATGTAGTCCAACTGATTCTTCTCGAAAGACTGACTTGTATTCCCAAATGTCCCTGGTAGACAAAACCCAACAATTTAAGTTAAGAGATGTAAGCGCCACCACGATTCCATTCCCAAATGTCCCTGGTAGACAAAACCCAGCAATTTAAGTTAAGAGATGTAAGTGCCACGATGATTGAGGGTAAATGGTGATGGTAAAAGTGTCCCTCATTTGCCCTAAAGTGAGACCTGTACCTCTGACTGGAGATACAGGAGTTGTCACAGAGAAAAATATGTTTTTCCATTGTCATTCTTCCAGCTGGGTCCAAAAGAACATTAAGCCCCTGTTAGATTTGCCCCTTTTGGGGCAGCTGTTCAACTTGGAGATGTTTCCAGTGACGCAGAAAAAAAACTTTCTCAATTGATTAAAATGAACTAGTCTAGGGTTCTAAAGTCAATATGGGAAAACAAACTTAATACCTACGGCCAAGCTGGCAGCATTTCTTCCTTTTCAGGTCATGAGCATGAGAGAACAGGTGAGTCCTGCAGCTGATCTGTTATATCACCTAATCCTGGCTCTGGCAGACCCAGGGAGAAATAATAGTAAACAGGGAAGTCTATAAATGGCTCCAGAAACGACATCTTGTTTTTATATAGTTTTCTTTGAGTCGTTAACAGTCAGGCGCCACTACTACTGAAACTTATCATTATTACAACCACAAACGGGCTCCACGTCCAAAAGGATTCCCTTAGCTGGTTTAAAAGAAATAACAAAGTCCAACCCACAGAGACCAATCAGTAACACGAAAAAAAATCCCAGAGAGAATGACAAATAGGAATATTAGAGTGTAGCATTTAAAACTGGAGTTTAAAGGCCTCTTATAAATGAATACTCCAAATACTGATCAAGGATAAATTGTGGTTTACAGAAATAGCTTAAACAACAAAAAAGGAACTGCACAATCTGTGGAAGGCTCCTACCTGCTCAGCTAATCAATGGTATGGCAGAGGAAACCTTTTATATATGGCTTTTGAACAACAGTGAAAGCACCTGGCTGGTGATAAAGTATTGCCTGTGAAAACAGAGATCTTAACACTAGTTTTAAAACTGCAGGAACTTTTAAACTGCTTTCAGCCCTGCAAAGGGCTCTGACTCTCCTACATCCCTGGGACAAGGACAAGGACTAGGGAAACTAGCAGATTTTTCTGCTAGTTTCTACTTTCATGAAAACAAAGGATGATTCCTGGTGCTCCCTGTACCTCCCTCTCCAGAGCACAAGGACGGCAAAAAAAAATGGCAGAGGAGTGGTACAGACAGAAAACCACAGCCATAAAAGACCTCCTTGGTCACCCTGTTCAGTCTCTGCTCCCTGGGACAAGGGTGCTACACAGTGCCCTTCATTCACTTATTAGCATTCACCTTCTAATTTATCTCTTTCTCCAACACTGTAGCCTCAACAGCCCCTGGCATTCAGCACCTTCTGACTTCCAACCTAATTCTAACCAGAATGACTTTACACATGCATCTCCTTGTCTTGTTTTGGATCCAGCTTCACCAGCTCTTCTCCCTCTGAGGTGGCCCTCAGCCCCACAGCTCGCTGCCCAGGGCCCCTTCCTCATGGCCAGGCCACCACGTTGACCATAGCCCCTTCCTCACAGAAGGCCACGATGTCACCCACGGCCCCTTCCTCACATCCAGGCCACTGTTGCCCACAGCCCCTTCCTCACGGCCAGACTGCCATGTCACCCACGGCCCCTTCCTCACAGCCAGGCCGCCATGTCACTCACGGCCCTTCCTCACATCCAGGCCACCATGTCACCCATGGCCCCTTCCTCACATCCAGGCCACCATGTCACCCATGGCCCCTTCCTCACAGCCAGGCCACCATGTTGCCCCACGGCCCCTTCCTCACAGCCAGGCCACCATGTAATCCATGGCCCCTTCCTCACAGCCATGCTGTCATGTTGCCCACGGCCCCTTCCTCACAGCCAGGCTGCCAGGTTGCCCACGGCCCCTTCCTCTCAGCCATGCTGTCATGTCACCCACAGCCCCTTCCTCACAGCCAGGCTGTCAGGTTGCCCACAGACCCTTCGTCACAGCCAGGCCACCATGTCACCCAGAGCCCTTTCCTCACATCCAGGCCACCATGTCACCCATGGCCCCTTCCTCACAGCCATGCTGCCAGGTTGCCCACAGCCCCTTCCTCACAGCCATGCCACCATGTCACCCACAGCTCTTTCCTCACAGCCATGATGTCAGGTTGCCCACAGACCCTTCCTCATGGCCATGCCACCATGTCGCCCATGGCCCCTTCCTCACATCCAGGCCACCATGTCACCCATGGCCCCTTCCTCACAGCCATGCTGCCAGGTTGCCCACAGCCCCTTCCTCACAGCCAGGCCACCATGTCACCCACGGCCCTTTCCTCACAGCCATGCCATCAGGTTGCTCACAGACCCTTCCTCACAGCCATACCACCATGTTGCCCACGGCCCCAACCTCACAGCCAGGCCACCATGTCACCCATGGCCCTTTCCTCACCAGCCATGCCACCATGTTGCCCACAGCCCCTTCCTCACAGCCAGGCCACCATATCCCCACCCCATCCTCCAAAGACCCTTCTCCTGAGGTCACTCTCAGCCTCCCTGCTCTGCCCTGTGCCGACGGCCGGGCTGGCCGGTGAGCCCCGGGTGGCCCCGCTCGCAGGTGGCGGGGCGGGGCGGGGGCTGAGGCCGGGTTTGGGCGCGGAACCCTGGCGGCGCGGGGGCGTGTTCCCAGCCGGGGCGAGCGGCCGAGCAGCGCTGGGCCCTGAGCGCTGGGAGCGTCGGGCGCCTTGGAAACGGACGGAAGCCGGGAAGGAGCGGCGGAGGCGGCGGCGGGAGGATGCTGAGCCCCGAGCGGCTCTCGCTGCCGGGGCTCGAGTACCTGGGTGAGGAGCGAGGCGGCGCCCCGAGGGCCTGGTCCCCTGGGTGTTGCTGCGGCCGGCCGTGGGGAGGGCTCGGCGGGGCCGGGGGGGGTGGCGGCGGCCCGGCCTTCCCGGGGACAGCGGCCTGAGGCCCGTGGCGTGTCCCCGGGCTGGGCCGGGCTGAGGAGGGTGGGAGTGACTGGGCTGAGGAGGGGGCAGCACCGGGGGGGTCGTAGGCCGGTGCTCCCCGAGGCGGGGGGGCTGCGGGGCCCTCATGGGCGCGGGGAGCTCCCCTCGGCGCCCTGAGGTGCGGGCTCCGTGAGGGCAGCGGCGGCCTGAGTGGGAGTGAGGTGCCGCCTCCTCCTGCCCTGGCACTGCGGGGCACCGTGGTGGACTATAACCTCCTTTAGCCCCTCACAAGCCTCTCCTGCCCCCAGACCTAGGCGAGCAACCTTATTTTGTGCCCATTTTCCACCATTGGAACAGCTACTGCACTTCACTGAGGTGGTTTGAATGTCAGTTTTACTTCTGAGGTCAGGTAACGTTGGTAACATTTCCCACGTGAAGTGGAATTTTTTTTTTCTTTTTTCACTTAAAAAGCAGTCTCTTCCTTACAGACCTACGTCCTTTTAACCTGGCCCTAACAGTTTGTGTTACTGTTTGGTGTTCCAGGAAACTAAGGAGCAAAGCGATTGGGTGTTAACGTGTCAAGTAAAAATAATTAGGATGGAATAAAGTCAATATGACTTCACTTAATTGCTAAAGAGGAGATGAATTACAAGTAGTAAGCATTTGGAATACGTTCAAGACTGTATTTTTAAAGTGAAACTCTTCAGCTATTACCTTCTAGGCCCAAGAGGCTGCTTGGTAATAACTCTCATGAAGGTATACATAATTTATTGTGGCTTTCTTGCACAAGGAAAGGTCAGAAATCACATGGACTGGTTCATGTTACTTGTTCCACCATGATTTTGCCACCTCTGGTAAGTCAAAATGGAACAAGACTAGAGAAACATTGCTAGCTTCCAGCAAATGGAAAACCTCTCTTGGAGGGAGGAGACTAAAAGAGCTGAGTTTGTTTAGCCTAGAAATAGTGTCAATAAGGAGGGATCTGCTACATGTTCTTTCATGAGCATCACAACAATAAAGAGCAATGAGTATGTGAAAGGAGTGATCTAATTCTTCTTAGAGTAGAATTTCTTTGTGCTTTGGCTACCAGGCTGCTGGCAGGGTACTTTGTGCATACCTACATGACTGCAGTGCTATTCTGTGTTAAGTAAAGTCAAGGCAGAAATAAGAGTTTGTTCAGTGTTCTGTTCGGGGTGATTCTCAGAAGACTGACTTTGCTGAAGTTCTTATTGTCTATTTCAGTTCTGGAGCTAGTTCAGGTATTTGAGAACAGTATCACAGCGTACCATGTAGATACACCCTTTGGTTTTGTGCTACTCTATCAATCACCCTGCGTCAGCTTTTTCAACCTACGCCTTAATAGAGAGACTCATAACTTTTCTGCAGAGTTGCTCTAGGCTGAAACTTAATTTTTTTTATTTTTTAGTTCTAATGAGCCAACTTGGTTTTAGGTTCACTTAATTGTTTTTAATGAAATAGGCACTTAACTTTTACTTCTCAGTAAGGATTGACTCACTCAAAACAAGCTAGGAAGCAGACTAAAAAGTCTTAAAGTGTAAGAATAAACCAGTTTTCTCTTTCACATCTGAAGCTGAGAAATGAGGCTTCCAAGATTGTTAGGTGCAAGCAGCTTTATTAACCTACTTAAAGTGAGCCTCCTTTTATCTCTGATCCACGTGATGATCTACCATTTGCTTTTTCATTTTGTAAAACCTTCTAAATTATTCTGAAATTGGGGCCAGAAAAAGACACAGGTGTGAGCATGTCAGGTTGAACAGTAAGTTGGAGAAGCCTGTTCTGTTGATCACTTAATTTGTCCTTCTGTTTAGGCTGCAATATCTGCTCTCTGTTAAGAGGGGAAGAAGTGTCTGCTAGGTGATGATATTGTTATTAGCTGTAAAGTTACCAATTACAATGTTGTTGTCTTTGTGAGGCTTTGTAACTTACCAAACTGCTCACAGACCCTACTGAATGAATTCTGTATGAGCAGCGAGAAACAAACAAACAAAACTCCCAAAATGCCGACTCTCTCTCCCAAAATAAACACACCTCCCCACACGTTTTCATAACGTGCTTTTATGTTTTATGCATTGACCTGGCATTCTGAAATCACCGTGCTTTGGATTTATTCCGTTGTGTGCCTCAAAGACTTGTGAATATAGTTGTCTGATGTGGGGTTGTAAGCAATTGTGATAAGTTTCACTGTCTGTAATTTGGTTCTGAAGTGGTGTTGCCCCAGGCTGCCACATCAGGTATTCTCAGATGGCACTGTCTTTCCTGACCTGGAATGGGCAAGCTTCACCTAACCTGTTTTTACTCTTTTTTTTTTTCAATCTAAAACCCAGGCCAACAAATAAGATAAGTGGCCAAAATAACATTACATGACTGCTACTCAGTGAATAGGAAAGGGTAAGTGTTCTGCAAAGTTGGCAGAAAGGCTACAGTGAAGATGTTGTAACAAGCAGCATTTTCACTGAATAAACAACATTTAGTGTTTGGGGGTAGTGATGAAAATGTGTTTCTTGTTTGATGGATGAGACTGGAACTACAGTAGGCAAAATGGGGCCTATTTGAGACACTTTTCCATGCCTTCCTCATTATGGTTTAATAACTGGTGATTGCTCAGTTATTTATAGCAGGCAGTGGAGCATTTAGTGTATTGTTCTGCTCATGCAGCTGTCTTCTGCCTGTCTTCTGAAGCTTCAAATTGTAGTCCCTTCCCTTCCCCCTTCTCATTATGGAGAAAAAGCAGTAGATTATTGCAAATTTCTGAACTTTTATTTTTCTCTGGATTCTCCTCCCTGCTACTCCCCAACTCCAGGATGTGCTTTCTTTTCTTCCTTTGCCAATGCAAGACATGTAAGAACACAAATGCTCTGTTAGGGAAGTGCCTTATCAGGAAAGCATGGGGCTATTAAGTGCCAGAAACATGGTCGTGTTTCCTCATATCTCGTATAAGAAGTCTTGGGCTTCGTGGTTAGAAAGAATGTTCATGGTATTGGTGCTTTTACAAAACTGAGTCGCTCTCAGCAGAGAACTTCAGCTGTGTGGAGACTTTGTGGATACCTAGGGTTTACTCTTCCTCTGAACAGTCTTCCAAAATGCTGAGTTGGAAAGTCCAAGTGGAATTGTTTCCTTTAACAGCACAATCAATGAATAGGTTACTTTGTTATCCAGACACCTCCGGTAACGGAGTCTCCTCTTAGTGTAGATATTTGATGAGCTTCTTCTCTGAGGTACTCTGGCTGAAAGAGGAGAATGCTTGATTTTTTCTTTTTTTTAAATTTTATTTCATTCTCCATTGTACAGGTAGGAGAATATAACATGGAAGATGAATGACTTCCCCAATGATGTGTAAAAATTTGCTCATAGAAATGTTAGATATGTTGGAATCCTCGTAGACTCAGTCTAGTACTTTCTCCAAAAGATGGAAGTTTCATCCCCAAACCTGCTGTTGCACTTCAGGCCTTCCACCTTAATGTGAAAGGCAACAGGTGAAACCTGATCCTGATCTAGGTAGATTTCCAGAGCTGGAGAGTACCCAGACCTTCTGCATTTAAGTACTAATAAGTAGGGGGCCATAAGGTTAATTCATGCCCTTAGAACAAGCTCAGATGGCAATTACTTCCACAATGTTAATAATACACTGCATAAATTCAGATTGAAAACAAAAAAAAACCCCAAAAGCTCAACAGTTTTGCTTGGTGGTGATTTCTAGCAGTTGTAGAACATCTTGCAAGAAGTAGTCTGCTGGAGGGACATGGACAATTAAGTCAGTCTGCGTGCAGCCTCAGGAGCACAAACTGAAAGAGTACAATGTCATGTTGAAATAAATTTTTAATTATGGTCAAGATTAAATTATAAACTCAACCATTTCTGAATTTTTTTTTGTTGAAAGTAGTTTTGAAACTGTGAACGTACCAAATACGATATAGTTGGGCTGTGTGGCCACTCGGCGCGTGTTCCTGACTAACAGCACATGTCTTTCATAGCAGTGTTATCTTTAGTATGACAAGGCCTACTTGAACTTCACTACATCTTCTCTCTTTCAAAAAAATATTTTTTTTTTTTGAGGGTTAATAGGAAATTTCACTGTGCAGCTGTGCAAAGCTGGAAAAACTACAGCTGTACAGTGATTTAGCTTCTAGGTTGATTGTTTTGTTTACATATTTCTCTTGCTCGTGCCCTTCCTTAGTGATATCTGAAGAGATTAAATCCCTGATGATATTTGAAAAGATTAAAAAGAGCATCCTGAAAGATCTTTAATGCTGGAAAAATTTCCAGAGTTGACATGATTTTGCTCTTGCTGTTTGTATCCTTACTAATCCCCTCTTGCATTGTTATTGTTTTAGTAATATTTACGTGAAATTGATTTTGTGTTACTATAGATGCAGCTTTCCAATGGGCCTACTACCATAGTGCCCTTAGTTAAGCTCCAATTTAGAAAAAATTCTGAAAGAGTATTTAGCTATTACTTTATATGCTCTCAGAAATTAAAAAATGCCAGAAATATCCCAAATACATTTAAACTTATTATGCTCTTGAACTTCTGATAACTGAAATGAATCATAATGTTAATTGCCTCAAATGCAAAGTGTGTATTTTCAGCACTTCAGTTGAGGAGGAGGCAAATAATTAATAAAGGCTGGTCTTATTATCCAGGAATTCCCACTCCTGATTTTTTCAACATACTCAGTTATGCCAGGAATGAACCAGCCATTAAAAAAAAAAAAAAAAAAGCACCCTCTTATGTGCATACAGTACAAATTGCTTTGGTAGACAGCTCGTGTTCCAGAATTCTTCTCTCGTGTAGAGTTGAGCAATAATATAGCTAGCTGATTTGATAATAAATTGATAAATACTTACCTCTGTTGTAGGGCTCTGTTCTGCTGCTGCTTTACATGAGGTATGTGATATGTGTTTTACTAGCTAGCTGATTTGATAATAAATTGATAAATAATGACTTACCTCTGCTGTAGGGCTCTGTTCTGCTGCTTCTTTACACAAGGTATGTGATATGTGTTTTATGGTTCTGTACCAATTTATTCCAATCACACTCTTTCTTCAGGTCCTTTGGCACACTTTATTTTTCTTTCTGCAGCATCTGCTGCTATTTTTATTGCACCTTCTGGCCATCCCATATTTGCTGTTCCTTTCAGATATGACAGGCAGCATCACTTCTTGGTAAGCGTGCTGGTAAACTGACCTTCAGTTTTTCTCCTCTGCCTTTAGAAAAGGCAAACTTGTTGGAAAAGAGATGTTCTGTACCAATTTATTCCAATCACACTCTTTCTTCAGGTCCTTTGGCACACTTTATTTTTCTTTCTGCAGCATCTGCTGCTATTTTTATTGCACCTTCTGGCCATCCCATATTTGCTGTTCCTTTCAGATATGACAGGCAGCATCACTTCTTGGTAAGCGTGCTGGTAAACTGACCTTCAGTTTTTCTCCTCTGCCTTTAGAAAAGGCAAACTTGTTGGAAAGAGAAGCTTCTTATCAATGCAGCATTAGGGAGATGCATCTAGGTTATAAAACTGGGAAACTGGTAAGCAAAACCAGTGTGGTTAATGGGATCGTGTTGCCAATACTGACACAGGGTACTATGGCACTTCCAGGGCTTAACCCTCTCCATTCCTGAGTACTGCTGATAACAAAAATATTACATATATGCAATATTATTCCTGAAAGGTGAACGTGTATTTCCTTCCTTCCTTCTGAATTTCTGGCTTGGAGAATTCCGGTACATATATTCTGTTTCATGCAGTGGTATTATTTACCTTAAATTTTTCTTTTCCTTCAAGATCTTTCAAGTATCAGTGCTTGTTCTTACAATATTGGTAATCAAACCTATGAATTAGCAGCTGTTTGGGCCTGAATTTGGGTCTGAGCTAAAAGTGCGTTAATTCCAGAATTCACTTTAAAGTTTGGGTGTGGGAGTGATGGTGGGGTGTGAGTGTGTGAATGTGTTTGGTAATACCATCTCCAAAGTGCTGAAGAAGACAACTTTGGAGGAGCTGTACTGTACATATTGCTGCTGCCTGGGGGGAGGCTCTATGTGTAACCTCACTGCTAGTGGTTTAGTGATAAGAATGAAGATGTTCTGTGCAAAGGTATCTACTTAACATCAGGTCATGGGCTGCCCGGAGACTTCTCTGTGACCTTACTCTGTCAGATCCTTCTGTGAGAGTTGCCTGGTAGTTCTTAAATCTGACAGCTAAGAGTAGCACCGACCCAATGAGTGTGGCAGGCACAGTTACTTAATCTTTGGGGTAGTTGTGTGGGGTCTCAGGGAGGAGTTTAGCAAATAGACAGGGAACTACTGGAGAGAGTCCAGCGTAGGGCAACAAAGGTGATTAAGGGATTGGAGCATCTCCCTGATGAGGAAAGGCTGAGAGAGCTGGGACTCTTTAGTCTGGAGAAGAGAAGGCTGAGGGGAGACCTTATCAATGCTGACAAGGATCTAAAGGGTGGGTTGAAGGAGGATGGAGCCAGATTCTTTTCAGTGGTTCCCAGTGACAGGACGAGGGGCAACGGGCACAAGCTGGAACATGGGAAGTTCCACTCCAATGTGAGGAAGAACTTCTTTGGGGTGAGGGTGGCAGAGCCCTGGCAGAGGCTGCCCAGGGAGGGTGTGGAGTCCCCTTCTCTGGAGATCTTCAAGACCCACCTGGATGCCGTCCTGAGTGATGTGCTCTGGGCAGCCCTGCTTTGGCAGGGGAGTTGGACTGGATGATCTCTAGAAGGTCCCTTCCAACTCTGACGATTCCAGAATTCCATGAAATATGGGTTGCATTGGAAAGTTTTGTGCAGTAGGAGGTGGAGCCCTAGTTGCAATAATCTATAAACAAATAAACACTGGGGATGATGATCTGTTTTAATACCTCCTGTGTGGAAACTGCAGTATACTGGAGTTCTAGCAGGAAGAAAATGAGTAGCCATGGTGAGCTGTAGTAGCACAGCTGTGTGAGTATTTGGGCTTTACATTCTGATTGGGACTTATTATTGCAAAGTGAGCCTCGTTACTGCAAAGTGAGCCTCAAAAACACAAGCGACGTGTACCAATACACCATTATCTCCCTGAATTTTCAAAAACTATTAAAATGTATGAATCATCTCATTTATTTTGCACAGGACCCCACGGATTAACTCTGCTTGCATAAATAGTTAATGTTCCAGTATGGTTCCAGTGTTTGTTATGGAAAGTACCATTTATATAAATTATGGAACTAGTATTTTGCTATAATCAGACTCCTGGCACTTTATTTTGCCTCTCTGGCCTGCTAGAACCTGCCTGCAAATTAAATCTTATTCTATGGCTTTTCTGTGTAGGGTAGGGTTGGTTGGGTTATAAAATATACTACTTACACCATTCCGTGGAACTGGGCAGCCAGCGAACAGGAAGCCAGAACTGGAATTTGGTTTGGCACTGGGAACTGTGCTACCTGGAAAACAGCACAGCAGCCGAAAAGCTAAGGAGAGAGGCTTCTCAGGAAGCTTCAAGTGCTATTTTCTTTCAGCTTCTCTGCTCACCAATTTCTTCCCTCCTCCGCGCCTCTACCTACCTTCAGGGGAAACAGGGAGAGAGGTCTTTGCCAGGATCCTTAGACCCTGCAACAAAAAGCTTAATAGAAGTACCCTTTTACCAGCGACTGTATTCAACAGTGACACGTGTGTATTTGTGTACATTTTTGAGTGTGACAGAAATGTCTGAAATTCTGTGTTGAAAGTTAATTTCTTCTCCAGGAGCAGACTCAAAGGTATTTGTTATAGAGGTCAGCCACTGTGTAGCACTGAGGGACCCTGCCTGTCTGTTTCCATGGGCTTTTAAGGCAGAGGTTAATGATGCTAAAACAGCAAAATAGCAAAATTATGTTTCATTAATAGGGACTATTTTATGAAAGGAGCATAGACTTCCCCGCAAAGTTTTGAGACTGTTTCTGCAGTTGAGCAGAAGTTTTTTGCAGGCTGAGATGAGCAGAAGCCCCTCTGCTAGTACCCTTCCTTGGCTTAAACTGGTACCGCTGACAGCTCAAGAGGGGCCTGGGAAGACAGTTTCTTACTGTCTTACAAGATGGGCTGCATAATGAATAAGGAGGAAGGATGGGCTGAAATAAAGTTACCCAGTTGCTGTTATCTTTTGAGCCTGTGACTGAGCTGCACGACTCATTTCTCCCTCGGGGGACACAGGTGCGCAGAGCTATTTTTCTTTAATCACTCACATAAATTAAATTTATTCCTTTGCATTAAAATAATTAAATAAAGCTACGCCCTGTATCTTTTAGTGCCAGATAATATCTTTGAACCTTTGGCTCACCATTTTGCCATCAGCTGCAAGGTATTTTCCAGGGTGTGCTTAACCAATTTTACCATTGTCCTGAAAAGTGTTCTAGGCAGAGAAATCCCCTGATAGCAATCAATGTTCCTACATATTTTTAATGACTGTATCCACTGGGAATAATCATTTCCGGGCCTCTCTTGAAGTCCACCTGCCCCACACTAAGATGAAAGGGACTTCCACGCTGTGTATCAAGCGGCGCGGGCTTGATGCTTACCGGGATATTAAGCACAAATTAAAATGGTTTGAAGAATATTGATGTGGGTCTGAGGTTGGCCAGTTACTGGTTGAGGGGGTGATGCTGCCAAGTCTGGAGCAGATTGGCAAGGAGCGAGAACAGCCTTTGCCTTTCCTATATCCCCTAAGGGGTTTCTGCTCCTCTTTTTAGGACACGACACTACTTGCAAAGGCGCAGCAGCATACGTGTTTAGGATGGAGGTGTGTGCTTTGGGAACAGGGTTTGTGTGCTTTCCAGGTTAGGAATGATTTTCCTGGGTTCGTCGGGACTTGTCTTTTGATTGTTGAACTTGTAGATTTGGAAAGTCTACTGCTTGGTAGCTGGCGCATCACCCCAGACTCGGCTCTTTGTTGCTCCAGCTTGGTTTCTAGCCAAAAACATCAAAGGGGCTCAGTGGCAAATCTGCGCTGCTTCCTCCCTGGCAAATGCTTGATGCCTACAGTCTGCCCCCTGTAGAAGCAGCAAAACTATTTGTGTTGTGCAAACTATCTTTACTCAGGAGTCTTATAAGTGAGTGGCATTCTGTGGTTGGGTCCTGGCAGATCCACCACTTCTGAAATTTCCTTCTGTTTGGTTTAGGCAGTTATTTGAGACTGACTGACTGTTGAGCAATATAAATCTCTCTTGGCATTGAGACCTGCTCCCCACCTGCCGCTCCAAGAACATTTGCTGATGCTTGTATGGAAACAGATGTACTTTTATTTGCACCTTTAGGAAAAAGACTTTACAGAACAACCTTAGAGCAATTTGGCTTTGGTAAGGAGGGAAGGGCAGGGAACACCTAAAATTCTGCAACAGCCCCATCGATATGGCATTGACAATCTATATAGGAAAGGTGGCTGTGACTCAGAGCAGAGATCAGGATCTCTTCCTGAGTAAGCATTTTCCATCAAGGCAATCTCACAACAACTCCTGTTCTTTCACTTCCAGAATCTCGGGGGATCTACAAAAGGGTCAGCACTGTTAATCATTAACTCTGTGTAGCCAGGAAAGTAAGTGGGATTTAGCTCAGGAATTTTACTATCCGTATCTGGGAGAATGAAACCTCTACTCTCTAGCTGAGGGAGCAAATGCTTGTTGACTTGTTGTGTAAGGCACACAACTAGGTTGGTCTGGCTCTGAGCTCTGCAGGCCCCTTGTATTCTAATTTTTGTCTCTTACTGTCTTTTATTTGCAGCTCAAAGACATGTCCTCACGTACATGGAGGATGCAGTGAGCCAGCTGCTGGAGAACAGAGAAGATATTAGTCAGTATGGCATTGCCAGGTTCTTCACTGAATAGTAAGTACATCAGGATGCTGCCAATAGGGCCAGCCTGAGGGGGGCTTTTGGAAACAGGCAGGGTACATGGAGAATGGAGCTGGACACATGCTGATTATGTTGTGAATGCTGGATTTCACTGGGTTAGCCAAGGGCTGCCTGAGCATGTTTCGGAAACGTGCATGGGTTTCGTGCAGTTCAGTACCTTTTCTATTGCAAACATTCATGTGAAGCAGTCACTTTGGGAAACAGAGCTTTTAAAAACATATAGAAAACCGAACTCTGCTTGCCTCAGTCAGGACTGTTAGGATCAAAAGCAGAGGCTGCTCCTGGTTTCAGCAGCACTCATTCTTCCTTCCTTTTTCTGAGTATGAGCTTGAACTGTTTTGTGTCCTTCTGTTATTGTTGTCCTGCTGAATGCTTTAGTAGAATACCTCCTCCTACCTTATAACCTGTATAAATCTTTAAATAATGAACATAATAATTAGCACAGACAATCTTTTCCTACTGATTTGGAAAGATTTTTTGGGGGAAAAGCTGTGTGTGGATCTTCAGTGTTGTTGATGTTGACTCAGCTGATTGTTTTGTGTTTTGCCAACCTGATGATGTCTTGCACAATGTCTAAAACTCTTCCAGGCAGCTTCTTTAAAGATTTGTTGGTAAGGCGTGTGCCTGCAGTGGGTTGTATGTTTCTGCCTTTTGATGCCCATTTGAAAATCTTTCCTTGCTTGCTTTCTTTCATGTTTTCTTTTTCTGAGGCAAATCAACATGCAGAGTATTTCACAACAATCTCTGTATACTGCAGCAGTGGAAGAAGATCTTAAGGCATAGGAGTAGCTTTGTTTTTCAGTTGACTGCAGTTTCAAGGGGTTTTGGGGTTTTTGTTTTGGTTTGGTTTTTTTTTCTGCACATCAGTCTCCACCTAATCTCCAAATAAGGTCTAACTTGCTAGTTAGACTGATCGGACAACTTGTATTATATTTTCTTGCCCCATGCACATTTTTAACTTTTAAACAACTGGGATTCTCACTAGTTAATGAGTAACTAAGGTAAATACTGCAGCAGGTCTGAGGGGAAATTCTTAAAGCTTGGTTCCCCCCCAGGATGGGATTCTCACTAGTTAATGAGTAACTAAGATAAATACTGCAGCAGGTCTGAAGGGAAATTCTTAAAGCTTGGTTCCCCCCCCAGGGGAACAAGCAGTTCAAGATTAGTGGGGTTTTGGCCATCTTGGCAGACCTTCCTCTGTAGCTTAATGTAACTAGAATGAATACTGACTTAAAAAGACCTCAGAAATCTATTTTAGGAGCAAATAATACTTGGTACTACATGGATTTTTGATATTTTGTCTTGTTATTTATAAAGTAGCTTAAACTCTCAACGTGCATTCCATCTTTGTAGACTACCAAAGGTAAAAAAAAATGCCTAGTATCAGGAATGAAACTCTTACTGTACAAACCAGTGAGCAGTGTATTTCTGTGTTCTGAGCAAGTTGCAGTGCTCATTGTTAAGCGAGGGTTGCGGAGAATTAATCGCTGAGAGAAGGTAATGAGGACAAATGTAGGTACAACCTGTGCACTTGATGTGATTGGAATCATGATGATACTTCATCTGATACAGGTGAGTGTCCACAGAATGTAATACTGAGATTAGTCAGCTGAGCAAATAGTCAGTAAACAAGAGCTTAAGAAAGATAAAGAGCACGACTACAATGACCTCCACCCACCAACAGGATTTCTTTACCAGAGTTGAAGGCAAGGTGGCTCTGAAATATCCAGCTGAAATCGGCACTCAAGCATCTCTCCAAATCGGATTTGGTTTGAACCTGCTTCAGGCTGACACCTCAGGGCCTTTTCTAGACTTCTGATCATATATACTTAAAAACATTAAATGGTGAGCAAGAGGACTTTCACACTTTTTGAAACCGCTCACATTGCTCTATAGTATTTCTTCTTCATGGCTTGATAACCATCTTCTTTTCACTTCCTATTCCTCTTCTACCTTTTAAAGAATAAATAGTAATTCAAGATTATTATAACAAACAAAACTGTCACCATAGAGCACAACCCTCTGATTGACTTAAGTGCTGGAGATCATGTTTTTCCCATTTATTTTCAAAGAGAGATGTGAATTTCTACAATGGCTTTTTGTTCGCACTGAGTGTTCTGGGGAGCTTCTGGTTCCTTGTAAGACAGGAAAAGGCTATGTGTTTGTTTTTTCTGTCAATATCATAGAACTATCATATTGAACTAGTCATTATCTCTCTTTTTTTTTGTTTTTCTTATTTTTTTTAATTTTATAGTATGTCTGGAGTTTAGCAGATCAAACCATGTCCCTCTACCAAAGCATAAACAGTCTTAGTAACTTTGAGAGCTGTGAAACTCTAAAGTTTTGAAATGTGGGATTCTTTATTTGAAGTGGAGAATAAATTATCAGCATATAGGTATAGGTAGGCTCAGAATACCTACATAAAAGTTTCCTATTATGAAAGTGTCATACGTTCTGGCTCCCAGGGCTTACTGGTGAGCCCTCACTGCCCAATAGATTTGTGTTCATCCATGCAACTGTCACCATTTGTTCAGGCTGTGCTTTGAAGGCTGTACTGGCTTCGTATTGTTCTGCCAAGCAACCAAGCTTGATCTTGATTTTTATCTTTAGTCTCAGTATTGTCAATCTCAAAGATAACTTGTGAGATTCCAGCAGGTTTGTGTACACTCTCCCAGTGTTTTCCTCGTTCCAGGTTATTCTAAGTCAGAGGACTGGCATGTGCATATTTTGAAATAGGCTGCAACGATTTGAGATGAAGGTATTTTGGTGTCTAATTTTTTGCTTTGTGTTTTCCCTATTTATGCTCACTTAAAATTAGAGACCAAGCTCAAGGTTTAGAAAGCTGGCTGATAGGCCCAAGCAAGTAACCTTTTTTTTTTCCTCCCCCACGTGTGTATGGGATAAAATAGCAACTTCTGTAAGTTTTCAGAAATACTGAGGCTAGTCTGTCAAGAATGGGTGTCAGATGTTCTCCAAACTCTTCTCAGAGGGCACTCTTTTCAATAGAGTGGTGTTCCATGGACCTGTCTTGCTGGATTCACCGCTGAAGAGCAGTCACAACCTTTCCATCATGCATTCCAATGCTCCACCTCACCGTGAGTCACTTCAAATCTTTGTGCCAGTTCCAACAGCTATTTTTATGGGTAATTAAGAAAATTTTGTTGAGGTTTAGTTTACCTGAGTGAAATTTCAGAGCTGAAAACTACATGGTCACGTAGCTCTATGTGGACAAGGCGGTAAGTGTTTTGCAGGCAATGAGTGTTTCTAATTGTTTCTAGGCAGTGAAATTGGGTATGTATTTTATTCCGTTACTACCCACAGCCCAGGACAAAGATTGCTGATTGCAGAGCACTGCAATCATCTCTACAGTTTTTCAGTATCCTTCCAGAATACTTTGGTCTTCAAGGGTACTTTTTCTTCCACTTTATTCCATTGTTCATTTGTCCCAATCATGTGGACATCTGCTTTCAATCAAGGGAGTACCTTGAGGATACCCTCATCTGACTCACTCCTGACTCTTATAGGAATAGGGATCAAACACCCTTCTGCCAATTAATCCACATCTTTTAGCTCAATGAGTAAAATTATGCCTCTCTTAGGATTAGTCTTGATTTTGTAGATATGCTGAAATGCTACTGGTATTTGTTCACTACAAACCCAAGAAATCTCTGCTCTGCTTTTGAATCTCCATGAATTGCACTCTTGAAAGCCCTCTGCGTAATTACACACTAATGCTGCTTTACTTCTTCCAGCTGAACTTCTGTGCCAACATATCTTAAAGGGACATGTTCCTCCTATACATTATTTATCATCCTGTTTTCTTGATCTTTCCTGTACTGAAGAAAAACAGGGCCCCCATACGAATGCATTTGATCATGCAGAGGGAATGTGCATAGCATCCCACTTTATGTTTTCTGGGATCTTAAAGGCAGTCTGTGTCGTTTGGTTTTTTTTTTTCTTTTTTTCACTTCAACTGGAAGAAGCAGAAAAGAAAAATTTTGACCAAGAAACTTCCTACTTGTAATTTTTACTTTTCTTCTGGGCTGACCCTTTGCTTGAAACTTTCTTTTCCACCTTGCAGGTAGATGTGCTACTCTTTTCAAGAGTCTTTGGAGAGCTCAGAAATATTAACCAGTGACAACTTACCTCGGACAGGAAGCTCTTCTTCCTATCACTTTTATATTTTATTTGATGGATGAAATACAAGTGAACTGGAGGCACAGGAAAAGGTGTTTTTTTGTCTGTCTATGTTCTTCTCCCAAAACACATTGTTTTCTTTTGTTTCTGGTGAAATGTCTCCCTGATCCCCTGCCAGAGGAGCATAATTGAGAAAGACATCTTGCTTTTAGCTTGCAGATGCATCGCTGCTTCCATCGGGCTCTGCACATTGATGTCCGAGATCCTCTTTTTCTGTAAAGGATGTTTCTGCTGGCTCTAACTGGAAGTGCTCCTGCTGGATGTTGTGTGCCAGTTTGATAACATTTATCTGAGGAGGTGTCTGTGATGTGTGTGTTTGGGGGAGTTCATGGGTCAGATCCTGCTTTTAGATCTGTTGTGTGCCTGGCAATTCAAAATACCAGGTCTGCACTGGGTAGAGCCCTGTTTTACACAAAGGACCATATGCTTTGTTCAGAGTAACAGGCCTGCCGGTGCCATATAGTTTGAGATCCTTGGATAGGAAGATGTTATCATGGTGAGAAGTATCAATTTCTAGCAATGAAAGTACCTCATTTTCTCTTGCTGTCTGGATTGGCTGAAACAATTTGTTCAAGCCAGCCCTTAGGGACAAACATGATACTGCTCTCTTGGCTTTCTCTGGCAACAGCAGTGGCACAGGCCTTGGTATCAGGAAAACTTTTAGATTGTTCAGTCCTGTACTGCTATACAACATTACCTGAATACATCTGTAGAGTAAACAATGTCCTCCTCTTTATAAAATTGTCTCAGTACCCTTGGGGAGAAGGGGAAGGGCA